TTTGCATGGTCAAAAGAAATAGTAACAATAGTTTGTTTTACATAATGCCATGAAATAGCCATATCTTCATATGTGAATAAATAACCTGTCTGGGATTGAGCTTTGCGTCAATCTGATAAATATTTTGTATTTGTATAACCTATTAAATCTAATTTTAATGTATTTGAATAATATAAGCCTATATCCAATGTTCTTTGGAGATATAAAAGTATATGTTTAATTCCATTCCGATGTCCTTGAGTTGGAGAAGAACTGTATCTCACTAATAAATTCAGAGCAAATGATATATCAGGTCGTATATTGCTAGCAAGATACATTAGTGCTCCAATTGCACTAAGATATGGTGCTTTAGGATCAAGAAGCTCTTTATTATCCTCACGAGGTTGAAAAAGGTCTTTTTTCTCATCTAATGATCTTACAACCATTGGTGAACTCAATGGATGTAATTTGTCCATATAAAATCATTTTAGCACTTTCGTTATATTATTAGATTGATGGATAAAAATTTTATTTTTCAAGTGTTTAATCTGAAGACCAAACAAAACTTTATTTTTCTAAGGTCTTTCATCTCAAATTCTTTTTTTAAGTAATCCACAGCTTTTGATAACTCTTCAAGAGTTTCAATAATATTTAGATTATCAGCATAAACAACAATTATCACAAATTCAGATCTGAATCTTTTTAGAAAAGCACATAGGCATATAAGGTTATTTTTATAGCTTTCTTTTGATAAATAATCACTAAGGCGATTATACCATATGTGTCCGGATTGTTTTAATTCATATAAAGATTTATTTAATTTGATCAAATAAATCTCTCGAGAATTCAAATTTTATGCTTTAGGCAGTTTAAATCTTTCAGGGATTTTCATATAGATATCATTATCAAGTGAGCCATATAAATATATTGTAACTACATCCATTAGACGCATTTCAAGCTTTTCATGTATTACCAAACTAATTAAATATCAAAATGTAATTGCATCCACCATAAGAAAATAAGTCTCTTCATAATTAATACTAGGTTTTTAGGTAAAACCTTGTGCGACAAGCCATGCTTTATATCTCACAATTTTATCTTTCTCATTTCATTTTTGCACAAATATCCATTTATATCTCATTGGTTTTACGCCATTTGGTGTACGGACTACAGGTCCAAAACCTTTATGTTTCCCAAGTGAATTCAATTTCACTTTGATTGCGTCTTTTCACATTAGCCAATCATTTAATATCTACATTCTTCAACAAACGTAGGTTTAAGATCCTCTTTTTTTTTTCATAATATTAAACGCTACATTGTATGTAAAAATATTGTCGACTTTTATTTCATTCTGGTTCCATCTTTTTCTCGTCATGATATAATTTATTGAGATCTCTTCATTTTCAGTGATTTCAGGTACTTGAATTTCTTCTAAAATTATGTCAAGGGTTTCTTCTAGAGTTTTTATTTCCTCTTCCTGATCATGTTGAATATTTGCTCTTTTTCTTTTTGAGAATTTTTACTTTGGAACTGACTAGTATCTTACGCTTTTAACATGTCTTAATCTCATTAGCAATAGCATATTATCTTACATCAATTCTGATTGGAGTATTTATAGCCGATATATGAGATTTAGTTACTCTTTTTAGGTTAGTAAATGCATTTGACAACTGATTTGCTATATTTTGTAAATGAATTATCTTTTGAACTTCTTGTTTACATTAATTTGTGCGAGGGTCAAATCTAGATAATGATAATGATAATGTATTCCAAGATATTTTCTTTTCCAGCTGCTTAGTTTCTCTCTTTAATGTTGAAAAAATTATTTTATCAAAATAACAATTAGCAAACCTTGTAGTGAGTATATCTCTAGTTAAGGGTTCTAAGATTGGAAATTGACTTATTATAAATTGGTAAAATTTGGGCAAAATAATAAAGTGACAATAGATAAAAATTACCTGAAGAAAAATTGAAGTTCAACTTTGAGAAGCTTGAGAGTGAGAGATTAGAGAATTGTGCTGATAACGGGTTACAAAAATATAACTTAAAAAAACAAGTAAAGATAACTTGAAAGAATAATTAAAGAGAAGAAAGAAAATATTTAAAGGGAGAGAAAAGATCTTATTGAAGTGTGTGTTTACAAATAAACTGAAAGTGCTTATTTATAGACAAATAACTCCCTTGTCTTGCTAAAATTTATAAGATAAAAATAATACTTAAAAGTTAGATGGATTAAATTCTAATCCAATTTAATTTACCTCAAATCCATATATAGATAATATAAATGAATATTCACAAAAATATTCATAACAATGTTAAATTTATTAAAGAAATTTAATTGTGTAATATCCCGACCCAAATGACATTTGGGCTAATGTAAATATTTTGTATAAAAATGTGACAAATAGATATTTCAAGTTAATTAAAAACAATTGGGCCCAAACCATAGTCTTATACTAGGGTTTATTGAGTAAACTAGACTAATATAAATAAATCGCTTAAGTTTTAACAACCACTTTTCAATTGATTAAGAAAACAAATGCATTAAAGTGGAGTTCATAAAAATGTCTCTTTGCGGTAAGATTTAGGGATTTTCAAGAGCAAGATTGGAGAATAAAAATTAAAAGTCATTGCTGGATTCATCATTACAAGGTGAGTAAAACCTTTTTTAAATTGAAGAAAATATTTGATTGATTTAGAAGAATTTGGATTGAAATTGAAAATGATAATCTATTTGTAGAATCAAGTATCATGTACTGTTCCGTCACATCAAGTCTGATTATGAAATGATTTATGGAGTATCATCAGTTGAGTTATATATGATTGAAAAGCTACACGAGTCTATTTTCTAACAAACAAATAGAAGTTGATTCTGAGTTTCCTATGTAAAGATATAATTCTTTTTTGTAAAGATAGTGTAAACTACCTAGTAGTAACACCAAGGGAAATTTTGAAAATTTTCTACACTTTTCCTACAGTGAACTAAGTGTTGAAATTTATATGGTTATAAAAATTATTAAGTCTAGTTTCCAGCGCATTAAATGAACCTCTATTTCAAGTTTCATAGCTTAAAATATGGTCATTTTAATGAACGATATGCAAGCTGTCTAAATTTCTAATTTAGGAGAGTTTGGATTAGTTTGTGCAATTTCAGTTGATAAATAGATTTTAGAGAGTTTTGTTTCAATATATTTAAATGATTGTTATTAGGTTTTTAATTATTTTGGAAGGAAGCGAGTTTGTTAGAATAAAGAAAGATAAATATATCTTCACACACCTTATTTGTTTCGAAACTATCGTGTGTGTGTGTGTGTATATATATATATATATTTCATGAAAAAAATCAAATGTTTTATTTCATTATTTTTAGTATATGAAAATAGGGTCAAGCATATGATTATTTTTTGTTTTGGGCTTAATAATATGATGAATAATGATTTATTAATGATTTGGTTTACTCATATGATGGAAAATGGATTTATGAACGATTTGAGTATACAAATGATGAACATTGTTTTATAAATGTTTTGGTGTATTTATTTGACGAATGTCAATTTATGAACGAAATGAAATCTTTGATCATGTTTAAAAAATGTTTTAAGAGCTACGAAATAATCCTTGAAGATTGGGATAATCGACACCAGAACTAGTTCTACGATATTACAAATGGGATACAATAGTTAGCACATGACTTTACTAACCGGATATAATAGTTGGTAACGATCATGAGAATGATTAGCAGATACGATCTTTGTCATGAGATATAATAATAACCATAGTTAAGATGATGAAACTTTATGAGTTTCAAAGATTGAGCAAATGATTTGCTTAAATGATATTTTAAGAATGACATTTGATGATCAACAATTTATGAACCTATGATGTTATTTATTTTGTATATAATGATTCTTTAACTATTTGTAAGCATGATTTATTTAACTATCCTTGAATGATCTATATGCCATATTGAAAACAATGCTTGATCCGATATGGTGTGAGTGATTATACCTACTAAGTCATGGTTTGCTCACTCCTTTACTTACAGTTTTACAGATGGCTAGTGAATGAGAGCTTTAGAGTTATAGAAGTTAAGAGAATAATTTGAGAAGTCTACCTTAGCGAGAAGACATTGCTGGCTTTGTTGAAACTCCTATTATGTGTAACTGATATTTAAGTTTTAGTTTTTAATTGATTATCTTAGAGACTTTATTGGGATTGTAATAGTTATCTATAACAATATGTTAGAACATAATTGCTAGTATGAATTCGATTGAGGAATTTTATATGAATTTTAGATACAAAGACTTCGTAATACTTTGGGGTTTAGTCTCGAAGTACTATGGCCGTGTCATATCTTAGTTTTGAAGCATGACATAAATGGTATCAGATCATGTATTAGCTTGATGTGGGCTTCCACATTGCGTTGATGAATCTTGATTTTGTGGAACAGGCTTTGATTACGATATGATGTGTGACCTTGATGAGAACATCGAAAATTTAAATGGGTGAGATTATGATACCCCATATCTCACATCTGATGCGAATGTCATTGTTAAGATTTATTTAACAATTCAAGTCCATTATTATTAGTAACTTGAACTTAAGCTTTCGAAAGTCACGAGACTTGGACTTGTTAATGTAAGTAATAGAGGATATGATTCAAAAAATAGAAAACAGATTGAATATACAGTCATTACATTTTCATTAAGATAACACAGAGATTATATACTCTATTGTGCATGAAGAACACTTATAACCATGCTTAACAAGTGTAAAACAAGTTTACATACAACCTTACACGTAATGGGACGGCACAAAGATGGTGTTAACTAAGTTAATTTGAAAGCATTCACGTGCTGCAGCAACCATGCAAGTATTACAACTTAACAGGAGTTGGGTTGTCACAAATTGTTGCGTTTTGCATGTAGATAACAAGTAAATACAATATATAATGAAATTTTCATTGAACTTGTAAAAGAAAAAAATCTCATATCATTTCTCCTGTATGGTGTGTTTTTATATTATATACTCTTGTCTCCATTGTTGTCATAGTTTATATACTCCTCTCCATTGTAGTCATAGTAAAAAGGAAAGGGTGCTGATTTAAATGCCCGGTACTTGCCCACATTGTTTAAATGCTCATTCTCCAACCTGATCAGTTGAAAATCAAGTTTCTATTAGTTCTAACAAAGTCTTTGAATTTTATACCATTTCAGAGCCATGATTGCATCAAAGACACAAGGTTGATGATGGTGAGCAATGTTAGGTATGGCAATCTAAGTAAACATCAAACTACAAATGTCCACTTTTACCTAAATGTTGGCAAGCATTTATAAGTTTCCTTTGACATGCTTGAAAGTAACTCTATGGTAAAATAGATCTCCTATGGACTCTGGAAAACTGTTTTAGTTGGCTTGGCGGGCAACTTCCAAAGGTTTTGACCAGCTTGATTCTAAAAGCTTAGATCTTAGGAACATTAATTGAGTGAGAGAAGTAAGAACTGACTAGAATAGTTTAAAGTTACCTGAAGAAATTCCAAATGCCACAGCGAATGATCTCCAAGCTAGCAACTACTGCAATTAAGGCTGTATTATGCAGGAAAGGTACACTTTGAATACCTAACACCTGCTGCATCCAAGCAAGTCTTAATAGACAGTTCAATACCTGCAATTTACCCAAATTTATTTTTAGTTAGGAAGTTCTTACACCAATCAAGGACGGTCAAATCTTTCAAAATGTTGTGACCCCAACAATCTCATCTCCACCCAAAAGGAAAAAGAATGATATAAATATCATGAGAGCATGATTTCTTACCATGGCTACAATATAAACACCTTTGTGTGGTACAATAAGTTTATCTCTCAACCAAGGGTTTCTTGAATTTCTTCTAACGAGACCCCAGTCTATGACAATGTCCCAATATGTAGTAGCTATTGTTGCAATGCCAGAAGTTGCTGCAGCCAAGACCAGCCAGGCTGTAGTTTTCTGCTTTTGGAACTGATAAATTGTCCTTATGGCAACCGCAGCGATTGTTGAGAAGTATTTCAGACCATTAGGACCATGTGCTGCACATTTTTCTTCAAATAAACGTCTAAGGCACTAGAAGATAAGAGATAACATACAGCACTAGAGAAAATCCAGAAATGAAATTGGCACGCAATCTGAAATAGTGAAATGATTACATTGTCATTGCTGTAAAAGATATGTGGATTGTTACTATTACCTGCAGGAAACGGAACCAGTAAGGAATAATGGCTACTACTATGTAAAACACCTTATAGACTTCATTCTCCTCGCACTTGTTCAATCTCTTTCTACCCCAACCATAGTAGCAAATGTAGAATTCCAAACTTCTAAATGCTTGCACCCGATATGAAATGTCAATGGATATTGATCAACAAACAAACCAGTTTGCAGTTATATTATTTTATAGATGTTGGCCTGAAAATCAAACCTGGCTAGTAAGTTGATCTGCCAAGAAGAAATCCAGGAGAGCGACGTACAAGGGGAAAATAAAGAAGAACTTCTCATATTACATGACATTACTCATATATCAGTAAATAGAAATTTATTCTTTTAGTCTTGCTACCTTGTAAAGAGGTGCACAAAGAAAGTGAAATGCACATTTGATAAGAAAGAATCGACTTGAACGGTATATGATATTGAAAGGGCAGAACATTATTGAAAGAACCGCCTGCAATATAGGTACACCAGCAAGCAGGTCAGGCAAAATTTTTCAATCAGATGCTCATCTCGAAATAGCATTAAAATGAGAAATTTCAGTAGGGACAATGAATTCTAGATAGGACTTACAAGGAGCAGGACCAAGGGGATTAGTTCAGTTAAAACTGTGAAGCCTTTTGTTCTGGGGTCGATCTCCATGTCCAAATGTGAAATGACACCAGCCAATGCAAGCAGCGAAAGCCCGGTGCTAAGAAGAAGTACTTCTCTGTAGCCCAACTCTGTTCCTTGCTTGAAACCAAATATAAATGAGAAGTTGACCCGATAACGCTTCCAAAAGAATATATTTCCGGGGTACATGAGCATGTGCAGGACAATGTAACCAAACAGGCTGCAGAATGATTAAGCATAATCAGTGGTATAATACTGAATTCAGTAGGAGTCCTTTAATTTCAGAATGATGGGAAAAACCAGGAAGATTGTTTCAAGAAAGTAAACAACTGCCTCAAAAATTGCTAAGAATGAAGAATGTTGAAGGAAATTTACATTTTGAGTGACTTTTACCTGTAAAGCGGAAATATGATGACCATGTACTAATGACGTCCCTGACTCCTAAGAAGATCTCTTGCATGTACATTCACAATAATGGCCACTATAAGTGCAATGGAGCAGCCAGAGAAGAAGCCTACAAGTGAAGAAAAGTTGTGAAATAGTCAGTTCAAAACAAGGAAATGGGATGGAGACTGAAATGCTCTAAGACGTCTTTTTGCACACACAAAAACATGACTTTGATCAAGTGTGCTATATGTAGTAAATAGGACAGTGATTTTTTTCCTCAACTATTTCACACTAGCCTCAAAATTCTACCACAATACAAAGAATTTGTTCTATCAGATGCTTTGAAATGAGACAGTCTTACCATATAGAAATGTAATTCTATATCTTTTCCTTTTTAACTTATGGTCTTAGAGTTTTCATTCCGTTTCTGTGATTTCCATTAGCAAAATGTTTAACATAGGTGGCCTCCACCCTTTCCATAAGCTTGCCAACCTGTCAAGACAGAAGAGAGTAGTAAGGAAGAGCAAAGTCAGTTACAAAGGGGAGTCCATTCAACTCACATAAACAGAGTTCGACTAGCTATATCTAACCTCATCAGAGCTGCCAAGATAAGATTCATCCACCATCTGTAAGTAAGCCTTTGATGCATTCCGCGATGTGATCCGCACTGGCATATTAAATTAGTACAAATGAACCCAGAACCTAGTGATTTTAATTGATCATGATGAAGTTAAAATGACAGGCCTTGTCATATTTCTTCATGATCTTGAAAAATGCCAGTTGATTCAGGAAGCTGATAAATCAAATACAAATATGATCAACAATAAAGCCAAAAATTGTTTCATCTGCTTATAGTTCTAAAGGATGAAGCCAAAAATAGCTAGTACTCTCCCCCTTCTTCGCCTGACATAAGAAACACGGTCTGGTAATCCCGTTCTCTCCCTCCTTCTTGCATAGGACTTACTAATATCACATCATCTTCATTATTCTTCATTGGAGAACCTGATCTATACCGGCTTGTTAGTCCACTAAATTTCCTGTAAAGCGATACCCTTCTTTTCAATGACCATTTTGTTGTTGCTGCCATTGGCGATGGTGCCTTGTTCAGTTGCTTGAACCTTAATATATCTTTCAATATTGACTTGAGATTACCGTAATCCATGTATGCTTCCTGCCATTCTTGCACCATTTGTTCTGCAAACTCTTTCCCAAACTTCATCTTGATCCACCATAAACGAAAACACTCTAAACAACTTGATTAGCTAGTGAATAATTAGTTAAATTAAAAATTGAGCAAAGCAACATACTCCTCCCAACTCTCAAGGACTAAATTTAAACGTAAAATTACATTACAATCCAAATATCTAAGCACAAAACCTCTCAAAACCTTATTGCATCTGCTAGTAAAATATACTTATCATTATTTTACTAATGTAAAGCATTTGTTGCTTATAAATAAAAACTCAACTAAAATTATACCTTATACATATGGGACTGGGTCTCCAATTGCATTGTTTGCCGACGCTATCGATATCTGCTGCCCAAAGCCCATGCACAACCACTTCCTGGACCATATATTGCAACTGCATTGCATACTTATTTCCAGCACAAGACACTCAAGGACGGTTTGAATTGAACCTCCATAGATGATCTTACGTAGTGATAAACTCAATTAATGAAGCTATGATCACAATTCATTGTGTATGGTTTTTGTAGTAGAAGACTATGAAATAATGGTCTCATTCATATTTGTATCTATATAATCAATCCAATGAACCACAACAGTTAATACTATTGTGTCCTTTGGGTTCGATAAATTCGACGTCTTTAAATTCTTTTAATATTTTTCTTTTGAACAATAAAAAAAAGTATGCAATCATCCAACTTTGCATGACTCAATGAATCAATTCCAATACGAAATTAAAAAAAAAAAGTGAATTAAAATACCTCTAATGCACAGACACTGAAAGCCTAAAGTGGAGTTTTCAAATAGGGAGCACAAGATTTTGCTACGAACTTGACTAACTGCCTTGAAAACTTAAACAAAGATGAAACTTTTGGAAGAAATTTCAACATGAAGATGAGCAGTGCAATTCATAAGCAATAATATTACTTTCAAAGTTCAATTCATCCTTGATTCCATGTCTTATTTTCGCTAATGATAATATTACTTGATGTGCAGTCCCTACAAAACAAGAAGTTAGAGATGTAGTATTTGACATTGATAAAAATAGTGTGATGGGTCCTGATGGCTTCTCTTCTCCTTTTAATCAACAATGTTGGTCAATAATATTAGAAGACTTATTGGAGGTAGTAATAGATTTTTTCAGAGAGGCGGCACTACCAAAGTGAGTCACTTCAACTACACTGGTTAATTTTATTGTCTAAGAAATCTAATCGTTTGCACTGGAGCGATTTTAGATCAATTAGTTTATGTACTATCTTTAACAAGATAGTAACTAAACTATTAGTTAACTGATTAGCTAAAATTTTGCTCCCAATCATTTTAGATAATTAAGTGGTTTTGTCAGTGACAAGCTCATCAATGATAATATCTTACTTGCTCAAGAATTAATAGGCAGAACTGATCACAAAGTTAGAGGAGATAATTTTGCTTTGGAGCTTGACATAATGAAGGCCTATAATAGACTGCACTGGAATTTCTTATATAGTGTGTTACGCCAATTTGGTTTTACTAACCAATGGATAAATATGATTCAGCAATGCATCTCTAACTGAGTAATATGGCACGTCATAAATTTATTAATGCAGCTTTAAAAAGGAAATTTCCTACAAAGATGGCAGTGAAAAGGTGATTTCCAAACTGCAAACTTACAGAGGGGTTTCTGAAAGGATTGAGCAATGTTTAAGGTTTTGCCTGAAATTTTCATCAATACATTAATACATAGAAATCCTGTCAATTTCTAAAGCCTGTATTGTGACTGATAAAACCACAATATTACTGTTTCTAATCCTAATTAGATTTGTGAGTGTCGTTTTCATGGTTTAAATACTTGAATATCTTTGCTCTTCTAGCATCTACTTGTTCATGCAATATTGATGTTATTACACTTTCAAACTCATTACTATCATTAGGTAATTAATTCAAATATTAATTAGAAATTCCAAAAGGTAAAGGAGAGTTAGAACATGATTGTAGCCAAGTGCATCTGTCAATGCACTCTAGATCATGGATAGGAAAAATAAAGAAAAAACGCGGGCACTGCTTCCTAATGGGTTGAGCAAGAATTGTGACAGTGATAAATGAGAAGTGATATGGATTGGAATAAAGTCGCTACAACTTCTGGAAACAATGTCGTCATAACATAGTACAATTACTCATGATGTTGTAATATATATGGTCCACTTACTCATGTAGCTGCAAATCGCCATTTGATGTCCAGCTCTATAAATGTTACCCTAAATTCCTCAACTCTGAACCATAAAATCAACCTTGCTTTCTGTCATTTACCTGTGAAAAATAAGCCGCAGGCAGGATGGAGATATAACAACAGCAAGAAACAAGGCTTTGAAATACAAGCATTCCGATGAAATATCGAGGTTGAGTTTGTATTTCAAAGCCTTGGTTTTGTTGCTGCTGTTGTTTTGGAGCTCGAGTCTTTCCCATCTTCATCTACAGCTTCATTGCTGCCTCACAAGTAATTTAAAACTATTTTGGTTTTATATTATGTTTATTATGTACTCTTCTATCAATAATATATTTTTCCTCAATCATATGAATTCAATCCAGTTAAAATTTAGCATTTCATTGAATAGGATGAATATTGCAACATAGTACAAGTGCAAAGTATCGGGGCATGCACGTCTATTATATATTATATTATATGTTAGAAATGGATTATATAACATAGTTGTTAAATTGGGATACTTATCGATGTTTTATTTTTAATATCGAATATTTTATCGTATTGTAAGATAAAATAAAAAAAATTAAAATTAATTATGAATAATATTTATACGTGTAAAATTTTAAAAAAAATAAAAATATTATACTTTTTAATAAAATTGGAAATTATAGAACATAAATTGAAAATATGATTATTTTTTATTGAAATTCTCAATGTATTCTTTAATAGTATAAATTTTTAAATAAACAACATTTTTATATTAATTTATTAATTAAAAATTAAAAAAATTATCATGTTAAAATCCAAAAGGAAATTCGATTTTTTTAGTATTTTTATTTAAAATCTAAATTATTGAATCTAAAAAAAATAATTTTTCATATTTCAATTCAAAATAAGTAAATGGATAAATAATTTTTTGATAATTAATTAAAATTAAGTTTGTAAAAATTATATCAACTGTATAGTATGATATATTTTCGATATTTGATAAAATACAATACAATTATCCATATGTATCATTTTCTACAACTTCATATTGTATTGTACAACATTGATAACACAACCCAATTATTGATGGCCTTTTAAGCTAGATTTGTGCTATGAAATTAGCCAATTAATTAAATAAGATAATATTTAAAATATATAAACAACTTATTATTCAACTCAAATCGAATAATTATATCACAATGGAATAATGGAGTTATATTTAAATAAATTAGTTGTATTTAAATATATTTATGGTATTACGTCACACACATAAAATTTGTATAATAGACGTATCATATTTGTGATACATTTTAATAAGATGAATTAATTTTATTGTATCCATATCGACTCATTTATTTATAATATCTTCAATTTTATATAACAAAATTATCATTGGTTAACACGAATTGGTGACTCTAATTAAGATGTAAGTTTGTGTATCATGCTAATAAGCTTATTTGCTTCATGATCATCTCATGACTCTAAATTAAATAAAATTAAGTCCGATAAAAACAATGCTACTTTGCTTGAAACGAAACAATAGAGATTCAAATAAGAATCAATTATTATTATTATATATTTAGTTTAATTACATGGCAGAATCTAATAGGCCGTCATAAATTAAGCTTCTTTTAACGTACACCAAGCCAACACAACACAAACAGATCTCTTCCAAACTTTTAAGAAGTTCAAAACTAAAAAACCTGGGATTTTTATTCTCTGCAGAGACAAGAATGTCTAGATTAACTCTGGGTATAGTTCTGATAATCCTAGGATTAATGTTGGAAACAGACATTGGGGAATCAATGAGATTTGAGTTGGAGTCAGGGAACACAAAGTGCATTTCAGAAGACATCAAAGCAAATGCAATGAGTGTTGGTAAATACAGCATTGTCAATCCAAACGAAGGTTACCCTTTGCCTGATTCCCACCGACTCACTCTCAGGGTACGCCCCTTGCAATTCTTTTTTTCTTGTTTTTCTTTTTTCTGTGGTTTGTTGATTTTTATTTCTGTGGGAAGCTGAATTTAGTTTGGAAAGTTTGTGATATAATTAGGAGTTAAAGTTTCTCTGTTTGTCAAAAAGAATATGTTTTCTCTTTTGCTAAGTGAATATTTATTGGATTTGAATTGTTGAAAATGGGTATTTTAATTCCTTCTCTTTTGGGTTAGATGCATTTCTGTTGTTGGGATAATTTTCCTGTTGTTGATTTGTTTCTATTTTTCCCATTTCTTATAGCGTTCATTTTTAATTCCCAAAAAACAAAAAGGATTAATGGGTATACATAAAATTATGAAAGACGGATCATGCTTTTGAATTAGCTGTCCTTGCTTTAGAAATTTAGGAGATGGATTTCGGTGATAACAAGGTGTCTACATTTTTAGGTGACTTCACCTTATGGGAACAATAATCACTATGGAGATCGTGTGGATTCAGGTACTTTTGCGTTTACTGCAGTTGAGGGTGGTGATTACACAGCTTGTTTTTGGGCAACCGACCACAAGCCTCCTGTAACGATTACAATTGATTTTGATTGGAAAACTGGTGTTGCTGCTAAGGATTGGTCCAAGGTTGCCAGGAAAGGGCAGGTTGAAGTAAGTGTATTTACCAATATCCTTTTCATTTTGTTGGTGGTTGGATATTTTATTAATGTTTAAACTATATTTTGCAACTTTTGGAAACAAAAGTAGATTTATAGGATTGTTAATGGTCGTACTTTCTTAGATTACATAATGGCTGCTCCTCTTGATTTATGCAAAGCTGTCATTTAAAAGGGCTGACAACATGCCAGTAGTTGAAGTTAGCCAAACATTCTTATACGTTAGCAAATTTTCTTCACAGCAATTAACAGTTAGCTATCATTTGCTTTGTGTTCCCTTTTATGTTTTGTACTTGAACTATGTCCGTAGACTGCATTTAGTTTAACATGAACACTATCAATAATTTTCTGTATTTCTGAAGGATGTTCTGAGACTTGGAATGAACTACATTTTTGGTGTTATTAATATATATGTGCAATGATATGATTTAACCTGCTTAAAGAAGTTGCAACCAAAAGTGAGTTAAAGGATTAGTTTTGATGGTAATTTTACTCTCTGTGGTGGAAAGTGGATGTTCTTTGGTAGGTCTGGATGGTTTCGTTTTCTGCCTATATATGAATTATAAGTGTAATCGATCTTAGCATGGAGCTGCTTTGAGAACATAGGAGGGCGAGGAAACGGCAAATCTGTGGTTGTAAACCATTCTGTGTGAATTATGATATGATGTGGATTTCTGGAGGCCTCTAAGAAGTTAACATATGCTATTTTATAGTTCTTGGTCATAACATTGGGTGCCTGTTAGCATGAAAAAAGAAATAATTAAATGAACAGATGCCACATGACAACTTTAGTGAGAGTTTTGGATTGTATCATGTTTATTGAGTTAACAGTTCTTTCCTTGTGATAGACAATGAAACTTGAGTTGAAGAAATTGTACGACACTGTCACGTCTATTCATGAAGAGATGTTTTATCTTCGTGAGAGGTATGAAATAACTAGTGTTGTTATTATAAGCTTTCTGTTGGCTTGGAATCCATCTTTTCTTATCTAACTTCTTCTATTGGCATATTATTCTCCTTTAAGAAAGAAAGACACTTAACTTTCCTCACTTTCCAAGGAGTTGAATTTCCATACATTGCGAGTTTTGATAGATTTGTCCACATAAACAGATTTTAGGGTTTCTCATCAAGGGTAATATTTTGTCTTCTTCCCCATTCCGACCCTCCATTTGTATGCTGTTTCTCTTAAAATGAATTTGGGTTCAGGGCTTTGTTCCTATCATAACTCTGCTTCTGATGCTAAATTTGGATGTAACAGAGTCAGATTACATTCCTTCTTTTAAGGAAGATAAATTGTCAAATTAACATTGAAAAAGCATTTGTCTCAGGTTATAGCTAATGTAGCACCAGTAGGTTTTTATGTGCGTTGATCTTTCCTTCTCTATCTGTTTTGTTCAGGGAGGAAGAAATGCAACAGCTTAATAGAGAAACAAATTCCAAAATGGCTACTCTTAGTTTCTTTTCGCTTGTTGTTTGCTTGTCTGTGGCTGGGTTGCAGATATGGCATCTAAAGGCATTTTTTGAGAGGAAGAAGCTCCTGTAGTTTTGCTCTGTTCACCTTGTCACTCTGTTTGGAAGTCATAGGCTTCTCATTTGTGCCTTCATTGTTATCGCAGAGGCTAAATTTAATAGACTAACTTATCAGTTAAGCTGGACTTGTAGTTTGCACAAGTTAACACTAGAACATCGTCCTATATGCTCTAGTTTGAACTTTATTTTTTATTGATTAATTTGTTGAATCAAGTTATACTTTCTGACTAATTTCTAAGTTGGAGGAAATTTGTATGGAAAAGCACAAGGATTATATGAAAGAAGTGTCTGATTATGGTGCTTACTAGTTTCAAGTAGTATTAACGACATGATTGATTCCGTATGCTGTTGATTACCACCCAGAAGTTGAGACTCAAAGCTATAACAGCTGACGCATTATGCAGTCGAATAGGCAAATTCGTTCATTAAAATCTATGGCACATTGCTTTACTAGCATATTAAACATTGGAAGCATTCTTTAAAGCAAGCGAGATGTTTAGATCACTGTTGGGAAACAGTGTAATCGTTTTCAGACGTACATGTTTAGATTACTGTTTATTTTGTAAGCAATAAAAAATAAATCAACTAAAGAAATACAGGAAATGTTGAGCCTGACCCACATTACGGTCATTACCGCCAAAATGTACCAGACAAAACAAATAATCTGGAGTGGGTGACGGTCGAAAGCTTGGAACTTTTTCATTTTCAAAAACTATTACCATTTCAGAAATAGCAGGATATTTGGACTCTAAAACAGAGCCTCCCCACTTTTGTAACGGCCGATGGATAATAGTTTCCTGTCTAATTTATCAAAAACATCCAACCGGTAAACATAAATCACTTCTCATTTTAAGAATCCTGATTAAGTTAACTCAACACCCAAAGGTGCAGTGGAAAGGTGTTGGTTCAAGATAACGTCCGGAGAACTTGAAAAAGAAAGAAATTTCAAAGGCACACATAAGCATCACATGGCATCATTACATAATCATCATCAAGTTGATATCATGCAAGCACAACACAATAACCCAAATGTTTGGGGATTTTATTGACAATCAGAGTTACTGACACACATGAACCACTCGGCAACAGTAGTAGATACCAGCAAAGGAGGCATGCCTCAACCTTTATTTAGTAGTAGCTACTATGGCACGAACTCCATTCAGAGATTTACCACCAGTCTGATTACTCATCATCATCATCATGGCGCCTGTGGTGGTGGTGCTTATAGCGGTGATGCTTCTTCTCCTCATCATCATCAGAGTTGTCATCCCCCTGCAATGTTTAATTTCATTCAATCAGATTAGTTGACACAAACAATCAAACATAAACAAGTACAGATATAACAACATAGTTCACCTTTTTCCCACAACCAAAAAAAAAAAAAAAAGTCCAACAAATGATAGTATAACTTACTGAAACTCCAATCAATTCCAGATAATCTACCATATTCATTTCATATTTCTTGACATCTCTACAACATAATGCTAAGCATAACTAAACATGAATAATTTGCAAGTCCCTAGTTTCAACATATAGCTGTACAAGCAGAAAAAGAAGGATATTATTATTCAGAACTTCAAAGTACAAGTGTACAAAAAAATCTAATTTTACTAAATGGAAATGCCTTGATGAATGAAAAGGCCCAAGCTTATCCTTCATTTTCCAATGGAGATGATAAATCACAAATCAAAATAACAAAAGCAGCCATAGCAATGTGTTCTAGAGACAATATTTCCTATATGTCATTAAAGTAAGTGAGTTCAGAACACCAAACATTCTTCTAAACAAGAAGCAAGATATAAAATCAAGCTTATTCATAAATTTTTCTTCAATAAAGAGCTTGCTAGAAAATGTTGACCTGGGACAAAAAACCAAAAGAACAGAATGCTTCTAATGATCTTTAAAGCTAATTAGGATATCAAATAAATAGAAAAAAACAAGTTAGAAATGATCAAGTTTTAGTACTAACTACTAAGAATTGACACTTATATGACAAACAATTACTTCCGGAAATGAAGTGTCATAAAATCCATACATATGCTAATATTCACTCCCTGCTTGCCACCCTCAACACAAATATCAATACAATTTTAACTCATTCCAACTCTAACCTAATAACAGCTAATAAGTCTGCAAATTCCACATCTTCAAGCACACCCTATCTAAATACTAAAGCATGACAGGATCAATACCGTGTATACCAGCTTTGCAGTTTACACGTATAAATCTAAACAATCGAAGAAAAAAGTTCTGAAGTCATCAAAGACAAAGCTAAAAACTTTCATCAGACACAAAACTAAAACTACACAACACATTAAGCTATCAACTTTTTTCGGTAAAAATCAATCAGAACAAGTAAAACTACTTACATATTTCTTGCGGCCATAACCTTCATCACCACCATAACCATGACTCGTCCTCCTTTCATCATCCGAATCATCATTTTTCCTCCCATAACTCGGCTTCCTATACTCTCCTTCCTCTGCCTCCGATCTCCGATAACTTGGTTTCCTCTCATACTCACTCCTCTCTCCTCCATACTCCTCCCCACCATAGCTCTCCTTCGTCCCATAGCCGGACCCATATCCTGTCTCCATCCTCTCTCCATAACGCGATCCTTGCTCG